ACTGCAATGGCTCCATCATTTCTCCATGCTGTTGAAACTTTGGGCATGCATGCATACATGCTCACATGTTTCTCAAGCCTCCAGGTCTGAGACTCAGATTGCAGATCAGTCATATGAAATCCAGTTGCCTTAACCACCAGACAACAGAGCTAGCCTCTACTATTTGCGACAAGGTAGTTTTCTTGCAAACACAAATATACACATAATAAGTAAGAACTATAACACCTCTAATGCACTGGAATCCCTTAGGTTCATTCCCATCTTCAATTTCTCTTCAGTTTTTAGCTCAGAAGTTAGTACTATTCTGAATTTTGTGCTTACCGTTCTTTTGCTTTGTTACATGCATGCAGTGAAGAGTGCAATTCTAAACTGTAAAGCTTGATTAATTTAAATCTATTGGATTCATTTTCATATAATCAGAACATAGATAGATTTATGGTACTTTGCCAGCAGCGCAGAAAATGCTAAAATGCTTCTTCGTGGTCATCATTAAATCAAATGTAAAAGACGTACTCATATTGCCATAGAACAGTGTTACCTGTTCTTAAAATTCATATAAATGGGGATCAATAGATGGCATAATGGTTATATCCCTGGACTCCCATGTGGTTGACCGAGGTTGGAGTCCTGAAGTGGTAACTTAAAACTCACGTGTGCATGTCCAATATCCAGAGAGGAGAATGGAAGAGGAAGGGATTGCAGCGTGGCTATCCGCGCCACTCCCACCACCCCCCTACCGGGCGTGTGTATGATTTTTCACTTTCTGTCTCTCAGTCTCTCTGGTGGGTGCACATGCCCTATAGCTAAATCTCTCTCTCTAAAAAGAAAAGGAACTTATATAGATGAAATCATTCAGGATGTTCTACTCCTGTGACTGATTTCTATCATTAAATATAATGGTTTGAAAATGGGTTCATGTTGTCATTACATCTATTGTAGCTTATCCTGTCTGTTGCTGTGTTATTTTTAATTGTATGGTTACTATTTTTCTACCGTATTTGTTGCTCATGGGCCTCAGTTGTTACCAGTTTGGAACTACTTTGAATAAAGCTGTTACAGATCTATATCTCTATATCTATCTATCTATCTATCTATCTATCTATCTATCTATCTATCTATCTATCTCTATGTGTGTGTGTGTGTGTGTGTGTGTGTGTGTGTGTGTGTATATATATATATATATAGTGTGTGTGTGTGTGTTAATGTGTGTGTTAATGATAGCATGTTCCTGTGCATGGAGGGAGAGGGAGAGAAGGATAAACATTTTGGACAAGGTGTCTTGGCACATTGTGATGCTCTCTCCCGAGCCCTCTATCATTAGGATTATGCACATCCATCCACACTTCCAGCATATTTTCAGGCTGCCTGGGGAATCTGAACCTACAGCCAGTCATGTGTTCACCAGCACTGCAGTCCACCACACGGACTGTGCCACCAGACTGGACAATTTAAACATCTTCATACACGTCTAACAAAGCAAACACATTTAGTTTTGTTAGATTTCCACCAAGAGTGGAAATTCTGTTTCATAGGTTAGATATATGTTTAGCTTCAGTAGATTCTGCCAAAGTAGATGTATCAATTTAAACTCCCACCACTAATATGTGAGAATTCTAATTATTCCACACTTTGTTCAAAACTTGTTCTTGTAATTTTTTTATTTTTTAATTTTAGCCATCTGGTGGGTTTGTAATGATATATCTCATTGTGGCTTTAATTTGCATTTTCCTAAAGACTGCTGTGATTTTGAACACATTTTCCTACGTTCATTATCCATTTGGATATCCTCATTTATGAAGTGTGTGCTTAAGTTTTTATCCTTTCTTAAAATTAGCTCATCTGCATTTTAATTAATGATTTGTAGAAGCTTTTGATATATTCTCTATACAATTCTTTTTACATATATATTAAATATCTTTTCCCATTGGTGAGTTCTTTTTTAACATACTATTCATTCTTGCTCTCAGATTTTTTTTCTGGATTTATTTTCTTAGAGTATATTCTTAGATATTCTTGGCTGTAAATCTTCTCCATTTTTTTTTTGTCTATAAAAGTATTTTATTCTTATTTTTGAAAACTATTAAACTGGACTTATAGTTCTGATTTGAGAATTGTTTCTCCAGCATCTGTATTCTAGCTTTTGTTTTCAGTTTAGGAAAGTCTACCATCTTACATCTATCTTCTCAAATTTCACTATAGTATGACTTTTTTGGAAATTACTTTTCATCTTTCTTGAGATATGCTCTATTCCCTAAATCTGAGAATTGAGTATTTATTATTTCTAGAGGTCTCCCACACTGTCTCTTTGAATATTTGTACCCCTCTGCCTTGTACTATCCTCTCAATTCCTTCTACTCTAATTCCAATGAAATATTATGCCTTTTTGGTCTCTTCTTAGACATCACCTAATGTCTTTTATATTTTTCCATTTTTTTCTTGCTTCATTCCAGATAATTACTTAAGATATACCATATCAGCTTTCTCCTCTCCTGTGCCTGAATTGGGTTTTAGAGTTTTATTAATTATAATTTTATTTTTAGTATTTTGTTCCTTTTGTCTTGTAAGAACAAAACCAATAAAATAATTTCCAGCTTCATACTGTCAGTCAAATAAACAGGACATAGTAGATTTACTAAACTTTTTAACTTAGCTTTAAGAAAGAATACAAGACTGTCTCCATGGCCTGTAAAGGCAGTCAGAGTCTGTGGCAGTCAACCATGTGGTTTGAGTGGAGAGCCCCGTGGCTTCAGAAACATGCTTGGGCACATTTGTGTGTGTGCCTGAAATTTTTTTTTTTTTGGAGAGGTTTTTGCTATAGGGCGCGTGCGCTCGCCAGACAGACAGAGAGAGACAGAGAGATAGAAAGCGAGAAATCACCCCCCAGGGGGGATGGCCACGCTGCAATCCCTTCTCCTCCATTCTCCTCTTGGGATCTTGGGCACGCATGTACACGTGCCTGGTGTGAGTTTAAGCCACCGGGTCCGGGACATGAACGGCGTTCGACTACATGAGAGTCCAGCGACACAGTCATTACGCTAACTGCTGGTCCCTGTGTGCCTGAAATCTTGAAACGAGGGTGAGATGGAGGAGAAAGGATTGCAGTGTGACCACTCCCTATGCGCGGCTGCTTTCTCCTCTCCCTCTCTCAGTCTTACAAGTGCATAAGCCCCTCAGCAAAAGTAAATGAATAAAGGGCTAGCAGGTGACATGGTGGTTAAGGCACTGGTTCCCACATGGCCAACTGTGGTTTGAGTCCTGGACCCAGCAGCTTGAAAAATCACACTAGTGGTGTGTGTGTGTGTCTGTGTGTGCCCAAAATCCTGAGAGGAGAATGGAAGAGAAGGGACTGTGGTGTAGCTGCCCCCTGGGGAATGATTTCTTACTTTCCCTTTCTCTGTCTCTCTCTGGTGAGTGCACGTACCCTATAGAGAAAAACCTAAATACATAAATAAAGCATAATAAATCAGTAAACAAAGCATAATAAATCAGTAAACAAAGCATACAAAGTTAGCAACTTGAATAAAAGGTATCAAAAAGATAGCGAACACTATGCAGAGCAAGAAAATCCTGTAGGCTTCAGACACCTAACTGCAGCCTTCCCTGTGCCCTATCACTACAATGTTCTCAAGAAATGATAAATTTCTCAGAGCACACCACATCATCCTAGAAAACCCACAGGAACTAAGGGCCCACAGCTTAAATAACTTGCTAGTCATCTAAAGAGATATGTATATCACTCCCATTCTCTAGTACAGAAGTGATATTTATGTAACAAACAATTGTGACAGTCGCATACCGATGCTGGGGCTTATATTTTCATCAACAGTCAGTGTAACTGCTCTTAGAGTGGTTGTATACGAAAGTCATGTGATAGTCTTCTAGGCCAGGTCTATGGCACAGAGAGTTCACAAACTCCACAGACCCTACTGGTGATCATTTAAAATAATAAGAAAAGCAGATAAATGCAGTGGTTCTAGAAACCGTAACAATATTCTTGGTCTATGGAAAAAGAGCTCTGATTGTAGAAAATGTTGAGTTAAATACTTGAAACTACTTTAACTTTACTTCTTGCCAAGATACTACATATAAAACAGTATCACATCCTAGATTTATAGGCAAAAATCAATGCTATTCTCAAAGGTTTAAAAAATAAAAGAGCCATGATATCTGTGAGAGTCCCATTTAATTTAGCAGTTGGACTCTATAAATATTTGATATGTTATGGCATCTGTCAATGAACTTAGCCAGGTTGTAGCCCTATTAGCTATGTATTTTTTTTTAAGAATTATTTTATTGAACTTTATTTTTAAATTTATGTATTTATTTAAATCTGAACAAAGAGAAACAGAATGTGTGTGTGTGTGTGTAAGAGAGAGAGAGAGAGAGAGAGAGAGAGAGAGAGAGAGAGAAAGTGAGAAAGCAAGCCATCAGGTCGAGGACTCAAACCACAGTTGGCTATGTGCGAGTCCAGCACCCTTAGCCACCATACCGCCTGTAGGCCCCACCACTTTGTATTTTCATTGAACCAGATTTACAAGGTCACTCTTACGTATCATATGACCTTTAATACATCAAATACATTCTTTTCAGATGCATAAAGAATTTAAATCAATTTTCATTTTAGTTTCATTCTAGAGTAATGATAATTCTCCTGTTCTCTTACCACCATGGAATTCCAAGGACCCAGACAACCTGAAAACTCCACAGTATATCACATTGGTCCACTAAATAAAAATATGTTATATTATCTGTTGATGATAATGTGTATAAGAATATCTTTAACCAGGGACCAGCAGTTAGCATAATGGCTATGTCGCTGGACTCCCACATAGTTGACTGCAGTTCGTGTCCCAGACCCGGTGGCTTAAAACTCATGCTGGGCACGTGTGCGTGCGTGCCCAAGATCCCGAGAGGAGAATGGAGGAGAAGGGATTGCAGCATGGCCATCCCCCCTGGGGGGTGATTTCTCGCTTTCTGTCTCTCTGTCTCTGTCTGGCGAGCGCACATGCCCTATAGCAAAAAGTGAAACATAGTGATTTTTATTTGCTGCTGTATGAGAACAATTACATCTGTGTTTTTAGCTAAGTACAATTATTTTAGAAATAACAAATTCTATGAGTCAAAAACAAGGTATGACCTATGAACAAAGTTCAAAGTTTGCTGTTCGATTCCTGTGAAACTTTCGTCCCAAGATAACTTTATTCTGTCTCTTCATTTTGATAGAGGTAAATATCATCTCTGTGCATGTAACACATAATAAGATAAATTATCAAAATATGAGAGCTCTTAAAGCAATTTTGCAATTATAAGAGCATTAGTCTAAAAAACACTAATTATGAATTGCTTTGGTTTCTAGTCAACCAAATTATTATGTCATTACAATTCTATTGCCTTTCTTTTCATCAAATACTATGATTATCTAAATGGTTTTCTGATAATACTAATAAACATTCATCTAAAAGGTTATCTAGTTCACGGTGCATGAAATATGAAGGCATATTATTATAAATTTGGTGATATTGTAGTCATGAACTCTGATTATAAGTTGAGGAGAAAGTTACAGAAAATTTCTATAACACACAATGGCTTTGGTTGTTAAACTTTGAACACATTTATTTACAGTATATTTATAAAATAAACTGAAAATATAAAGTCAAATTTATTTCTACTGGGATTCAAGTAAGAAACTTAAATATTTTAAATATTTTTTTAAAAAATTAGTCTTAACACTAATGATGATAACACTAGAAAAACTGCAAAAGCAAGTATTTGTTGAACTTCATCTAATTTTAGACTAGTTTTACTCAGAAATTGAAATATAATTTTTTTCCATTGCTTACTTGCTGGTAATGGGAATGAGAACCAAACACAAAAATACACACATTAAATAAAGATGTCCTAAATAACAATGAATCGATACATAGAGGTTTGGCAGGACAGAATGACTACATGAATTTCACATCATAGCTTTCTCTTTGAATTTCTTCTGTTAAAACTTTTAAGGTTGTTTTTTCTTTCTCAGTGGCCAGTCGAGTTTCTTCTGGAGTCCATTGAGGAACTGTTATTTTTTAGCTAGAAAAGTAGGCTTCCTTTTCTGTGGAAACATTTATGTTCACTGCCCAAGTGGTTTCTGTCACATCTTGTTATTTTTTATGTTTTTCATTTTTGACGATTTCTAAAAGTAAAGAAAAAAATAAGAGGGGTACATCAGAAATACTGGAAATAACCAAGAAGGCAACTTCTCACTTTGAAGTACTGTTTAGAAAACACTTACACACATATATGCTTTTTGAGAAACAATTGGGAGAGAAATAGGAGGAGTAAAGAAAAGATAAAATGGAAAGGAGAAAGGTAAGCTCTGCAGGAACAGGATAGGTATTTTTATGAGGAAGAGAATAGGACCTTAAATTTGTAAAGTATTTTTCAATGGACAAAATGCTTTTCTTTGCATTTTAATTTATTTTTATAGCAATGCTATCATATAGGTAGTAGAAGACAGGAAACTAGGTCATAGTAAAGTTCAGACCAAACACAGCTAGTGAGGAGTTGATGCTGATTGTGATCTAAAAACGTCTAATTCCAGCCTTAACATTTTTTTTTCTGCTGTGGCACTTTTCCTACAGAATAGAGTGCAAAACTAGTAGGGATCTAAGGAGTACAGTGGAGGAAAAGGCTGCCTATACATGTAAAACTGAAGAAAAGGTCACAGGTCTTAAGCACAAGGTCTACTCTCTAAAGCTTCTGATTAACATATGCATGCATATGACATTAGCAAAACATCATAGCAAACTCTCAAGTAAAGAAAGCTACACAACTGAGAAGAATTCTGTTTGCTGACAACACACTTTGCTAATTTCCACTATGACTTACTGGAGCATGAGAGATGGATGGTTTTGCTTTGTTTTGTTTTTCAACATAATTTATTATTATTATTGTTATTATAAAAAATGTTTTGCTATAGGGTCCATGTGCTTACCAGAGAGTTAGAGAGAGAAAAGGTGAGAAATCACCCCTCCTCCATTCTTCTCTCAGGATTTTGGGCACATACACAGATGTGACCTGTATGAATTTCAAGCCACCAGGTCTGGGACTCAAACCAGGTTGAACATGTGGGAATCCAGTGCTTTATCCATCATGCCACCTGCTGGCCCCTTATTATATTTTTATAAAGCAAAAATAACAGAATTTTTAAAACACGAAACTTTACAATCTTTTGTCTGTTAAGTGTTTCTTCCTATCCTCTACCCTTCACTCTCCTACCTTATATTCTACACTTATCCTCTCTACTATCATGTCTTTGGATTTTTTTATTCCTGTCATAGAACATAGACATTAGGGATATATTGAGCAGGGAGGGATAGGGATATGCAGTGTGTATCTTTCAAAGTCTGGCTCACTTTGCTTACATTAAGTCCTCTAAATTAGTTCACTATGAATCAAATGACAGGATCTTATTCTTTATGGCTGAGTAGTATTCCATTGTATATATGTGCCAAGTTTTTCAATTCAGTCAGTTTCTTGGACACTCAGGTTGATTTCATGTCTTAGCAATTGTGAATAGCACTGAAATAAACATGGATGTGTGTCTTTCTGACTATTTTCCTATCCTTTGAGTAAATACTAAGGAACAGGATTGATTACTTGATGATACAGTAGTTCTCTTTACAGGTTTCTCAGGCACCTCAATATTGTTTACCATAGTGATCGTACTAATTTACATTCTCACCAGTAGTGTAAGAGGATTTCCGTTCACCACAGCTTTACTAGCACTTGCTGTTTTTTTTTTTTTTTTTTTTTTTTTTTTTTTTTAATACTAGACATTCTAACTAGAGTTAAATAGTATCTCATTTTGACTTTAACATGGATTTCCCTTATGACAAGAGATTTTGAACATTTTTCAAATGCATTTTGGCCATTTGTATGTCTACCTTGGACAGTTGTCTATTCTGCTTATTTGCACATTTTTAATTGAATTACTCATTTTTTTCCAAGTGAGCTGTTTGTGTTTCCTGGATATTCTGATTATCAATCTCTTGTCTGAAGTATAGTTAGCAAATTTTTTTCTTCCATTCTGAAAGTTTTCTCTTCACCTCAATTGTCATTTCTTTTGCTGTGCAGAACCTTTTTAGCTTGATGTAATCCCACTAACATGAGTGCTACAGTGATTAAGAGAAACAGAAAACTAGCAATCTCTCTGGCTTCTCATATCTTTCATGCTAGAAACTTGTTAAATGCTAATCATCTGGATCTGGAGAGGAACAAGCTCTCATTAGCCTATAACTAGCTTCTTTCCATCTTTGTCCTTTTTCTTCTTTTTGTCTTACTTTTATCCTTCCATCCTTTTCTTCTTTTTTCTCTCCTTCTCTTTCTTCATTTTTCCTTTCTTCCCTTTCCTTCCTACTTTCCTTCCTTCTTTGATTTTTTTTTTCTTTTGGCTATCAATGTGATCATCTAAAGCAATGTGTTGCCTAAACATACCAAGTCTTTATGCACTTTATTTTATTATTATTTAAAAGGGGGGATAATCATGCCTACTTTATAGGATTATTACAGAGATTAAACGACTTAATAAATGTAAACAGCCTAAAACTGTCTCAACAACTATGAGTGATTTTTATGATGTGCGTGTGTGAAATACAGTCAAAATATACAGTTTTGTGACTTCTGAGGAGCTCACAGACTAATTGGGAAAGAACAAAGGTGATGTCAAGAAGTTGCATTTCTTTACACATCATCATAGTAATTCTAACAACCTGAATTTCTTTCCCTCACTCACAATCTTTCTCCACTGCTAACTGGGGCTGGAGGTGGGGTGCTGGGGTTGGGGAGGATGTTCACTGGCTGACTGGGGAAGATAGCCTGGCCCCATGCTTTCCCAGAGTTCACTCCTTCTCCTCATGATCCACTATCCAGAACTGCTGCTTTTTTATTTCAACGTCTTTGTTGTATCATGAAGAGCAATAAAGCTACATACTGTAGAATATAAATTATAGCTTTTTTTTTTTTAAGAAAGAGTTTTAGGCAGTGTGCCAGATTTATCTTCTAGTGCTTACTGTCTTTATAACTTTATCTTTAAAAAAAGAAAACGGGACAATTCTCCTTCTGTGTTGCTTTTCTGAGGTGGAGAGGGGGATGGGGAAAATGAAATAGATGTATTGTATTGCAATACAGAGAAACAGAATCCAAAACCTATGTCTAACTCCTGAATCTATATCTTACCAGGTGTGCGTCTTGAGGAAACTCTCCATTCTATTTCCTTACAGTGGATACGTTTTGATAATAATAACTGACTCACAGAGTGGAGGAAATATCACATGGAATGATGTACCCACAAGTGCTTTGTAAAAAGTAAAGGGCTACAAGAATATTTCTTGCTATTATCATCTCATGTTCACATAAAACTATTACAAGCCTGTAATTTGAAAGTCCAATCTGTCATCGTGACAGTTATGAGTTTCGCACTCTCTTATCAATAAGTGGATTTAAGATAATACATAGTCAAGCAGAAAAATGGGGGATGAGGAAATAGAAATAATTAAATTATCTCAAAATATAATAATAGAGTTTAAACAATCTTAGTTTTTGAAGGGACTTCACCCTGCCTGATGTAGCCCCCTTTTCTACCAGGTATAGAGATCTTCTATAACATCCATCCTCTGGTTGATACAGCAGAAGACATCACACTGAACAGAAACTGTATGCTTTATCACATTAATAAACCTTCAAGAAATCTTAAAATGTGCAGAAACTTTTCTCTTCAGACAATTATTTCGATTTGAAAATCCAGATTGACTTAAAAGTCTTATCTTTTTGGCATCCATTGCTTGTTCCTCCTGGAAATGGCACAAAATTAATATGAAGATGATGTTTCTTACATTCAGTCGAATATTCACCTAACCAGTTATTTAGATGATCAAATTAATTGATGGAGTTGGAGTGATGCAAGCTAAGTTCCTTGGAAATCAAGTCAAATACGTCATCCATAAATTAGCCAATGGATGTCATTTTGCTTTGATTTTTCTCTCAATGAAGTATAAACCAAAGAAGAGCCCTTCAGTGGTCAGAATATATATCTTTATAAGAATAAGCTGCTGTCAGTCCACAGGACAAGTTAGAAGCATAAAATTAAGTGAGTAATTCTGAGAATGAAAACAGTAAAGTGAAAGAAAATCTCTAATTCCTCATGTTTTAGTAGAATCAAGTGCAAGTAGATCTAAAATTGATTTATGGTCTCTTATAAAGTTGATCGGTTTTCTAAAGCATTAATTTGATTCAAGGCCAATCACGCCTCCCTTGCCTTCTTGGGAACATTAAGTGCCAGTATCTTATAATGGTTCAAGCACACTCT